AATTACTCATGCTAAAATACACTGAACCCATGCTATTATATAGTCCCCAATTCAGGATGGTTCGTATGTAGAATGGCACATCCAACTTTCAGTGCCATTTCAAATTTCGACAGAGCCTCCGTATACTGACCTATGTTCTTATGTGCCAAAGCGATATTACTATAAGAAGAAACCATATGAGGATGATTTGATGGCAGCGCCTGTTGGTAAATCCGAAATGCTTTTTCGTAATACTCCAGTGCTTTTGAATATTGACCCATTCTGTCAAATACAGAACCGAGGTTACTGTAACAATTGGCCAAATCAGGATGAGTCGGAGGCAGAGCTTTTTCTCTTATTTTGAGTGATTTTTCGTAATATTCCAGTGCTTTCGAGTATTCCCCCATGTCGTTATACACTTCACCAATGCAGCTGTAGGAAGTAGCCAAGTTGGGATGAGTCGGAGGCAAAGATTTTAATGTTATTTTGAGATCTTTTTCGTAATATTCAAGTGCTTTCGAGTATTCACCCATGTTGGCATACACTCCACCCATGTTGTTATAGGAAGTAGCCAATGAGGGATGATTTGGAGGCAGAGATATTTCTTTTATTTTCAGTGATTTTTCGTAAAATTCAAGTGCTTTCGAGTATTCACCCATGTTGTCATACACTATACCAATATTGCCATAAGAAGCAGCCAAATCGGGATGAGTCGGAGGTAGAGATATTTCTTTTATTTTCAGTGATTTTTCGTAATATTCCAGTGCTTTCGAGTATTCACCCATGTTTTTATACACTGCACCAATGTTACTATAAGTAGGCGCTAATGAAGCATCATCTTCTGGAAGCGTTTTTCGCTCGATTGCGAGTGATTTTTCGTAGAAAGTAACTGCTTGTTGGTATTCACCTTGATCGTTTTTCAACCATCCAAGTTGGTGATAGATGTGTGCTCTATCACTATCATTGGAAGCATTCTCGAGTAATTCATTGTAGAGTTCCTCAGCTTGATCGAAATGACCCACTTTGAGCATTAACTTGCCCATTCGATGCCATCCGGTCGAACCTCCAACCTCCTGTTTGATGCAATCAGTAAGACCAGCCAGCTGTGGATCACTCTCGTCGGTAATAGTCAATTGTACTTCCCAAAGACGACTATTCTCAACCGTCTGTTTAATTTCACCAATACGAAAAACAGCGTGCATTGTAAATAGTATTTCTTGTTCTTGTGGGAGAGCACTGTGTTCATCAATCATTGCAAATGGTGTAATTGAAGTTGATATTTTACTTGGATCTATTGTCATAATGAAGATAACACCCACAATATCTGTACTTTCGTGTGGGGAATCTTGAATAAAGTTCATTGCCACTTCTTTTTGTTTACTAGTTGATAAGAAGTTGTTGAACGATAGTAGACCACCTTTTGAATCAATTAGATTTTGAAAGTCTTGTTGACTTAGCCCCTGACCACGATAAACGGTAAATGGTTTCTGAAAATTCGCCGACTGTTCTTGATACAGTTGCTGTAGTTGAAGATGAAGACTTCGAATAAAAAAGCCTAACTTCGACATCGCTTCCATATCAAGCGATCGTAATCCACGATTAAGCATGCCATACAGAAACATTTCACATGTATACCACCAGATCGGTGATTTCTGATGGTATTTACGCTTCAGTTCGTTGATTTCTGTTTCAGGAATATTCTGTTCTCGGCAATAAATTTCTAAAGTTTTCAGAGATTTGGCGTCATCGTCATCAATTTCTAGGATGATATCCTTGAAAATCACCGAATACATGTATGATGGCGGTAACTGATCAAGATTGTCTTGGTCCAATCCTGTTGCTCCTCCTGCCATCGCTTGCTTCGGAACGACGCTCATCGGGATCCAATCATGATCGCACTCATGGGCGACCTTTTTCAGCGACTCGCATATTGGTTTGATTGAGGTGAAAACACCTCGAATCTTTGGCCAATCTTTCGCCCATGGCTCATGACGTGCTTTATTGCCACAGAAGATATATATAGCATCTACTACATGCATGCTATGAATTTCTGGCACGAGTTGCTGACCTACATAGCCCGAAACGATGACGAAAGCTTTTCCCTCGCTCATTTCACTGAGGAGATCGATACATCCTTCGGGTGTTGTGCAAACATTCAGATCATTTACCACTTCGTGTAATTGTGCCAGTATATCCCGGCAGTCTTTGGTGGTTTCATCGATGTTCTGATCGACCCAAATAAGTAAATAATTTTGAGTCATGCAGCGTTTTGTCTGCCTACTATTTAATGAAACTATAGTATTGGTTGTGATATCCTGTCTTGCTGAAGAAGCTGTTGATTCAGGGTTTTGTCTATCCATATTTCTTTCGTTGACAGGAGATCCATCGACAGAATGAGTTATTTTCGTTCGTCCGTCTGTTCGTTGACTCCCTCTTCCGGTCATTTGCTCGTAACTTTGATCACCCGTTTGTCTCTTCGTTGGGGTATTGGTATGTTCTCTCATGCGTTGATTCGTTGATGTGCGCATTCGTTCACTACAGAACGATAAGAATAAATATTATTGCATATTAGAATTTAAGCGAAATGTATCCCTCTCAACCCATGTAAAAGTTGAGATTCAGTGAAATCACTATTCACTGCTTTGTGTTACGAAGCATAAAGTGGTAAAGCGACTAATAAGTGAATTTTGTTTTGAGTAATTTTGAGTATGTTCATAAGTAGAACGCCCTTTTTGTTACTTCTTATAGTAATAGGCAATACGTTTTACTTTTAAATATATTCAGCTGTACTACAAAAGTTTCAGTTATTAGTATCTTTTTCTACTTTACGCAGTGGCACAAGAAGTAATCAACAGTGACTGATTTGGATCTCAACTACACTGAAAACAAAAAAGATACGACACCGAACCCAAAAGGGAGTTTTGAACTAAAAGAAAGTTTCGTACTTAGTACGGAACATAAAAGAGTTTCGATTTCGTTTAAATTCTCTGAACCCTTTGAGGTTTCTTAGACAGAACTACAAAACACTTGAAAAAGTATTATAAGTCTATGACGATTATTTTCAGGCAAACGAAGTTCTTACGAAACCTTTTGAGGATTCCTTTTTCATTTCTAAAATGAATCAATGCACTAGAAAAAAGATTAGTATGACTAACAAACTCTTTTTAAAATGAATACGGAACCGTCAAAAAGGTTTCGTAAAAACTNATGACGATTATTTTCAGGCAAACGAAGTTCTTACGAAACCTTTTGAGGATTCCTTTTTCATTTCTAAAATGAATCAATGCACTAGAAAAAAGATTAGTATGACTAACAAACTCTTTTTAAAATGAATACGGAACCGTCAAAAAGGTTTCGTAAAAACTTCGGTTGCCTGAAAATAATAGTCATAGACTTAGAATTTTTTTTTCAAGTGTTTCGTGGTTCTATCTAGGAAACCTAAAAGGGTTCAGAGAATTGAAACGAAATTGAAATCCTTTTAGTTTTCGCACTGTGTGCGAAATCGTTTTTTTGCCCAAAACATCCCTTTGGGTTCGGTGTGGTACCTTTTTTATTTTCAGCGTAGTGATCAGGGGAGTCGCATTTTTTGATTCCGGAACCCGATCGAATTCCAAAATTTGTTTTTGGATTTCGGTTCCAATTCTGGCTTTGGTTGGTTATCATTTGCCACAAATTGAAATCCCC